ATATTTAAAATTTTATTTAATTTTATTTATTATTTATAAAGTTATAAACAATTTTTATATTCCAGTTTTCAACTTTCCATATTGTATAATCATTAAAATCTTATATAATCTTTTTTAAGCTAGCTAATAATGTAAAAAATATAATAAAAAACTAAATAAGTTAATTAATAGATGTATTTACTATATATATTTTAAATATTAACTCCATTTCAAGATGATCTATTTGATAATTATGTGTATTTGACTTGTTACCTGTTTTGCTATTAGAAGAGATTATCTATACTAGTGATAATAAATAATATTTTTCTTAATTCTAGTTAGGTTAGACTTAGATTGAATCATGTAAATAGCTAGCTCTTTATACTATCCAATCTCTAGTAATCTATAAATACTTGGGCAATACAAGGGAAATATAAATCCCGATTGTTTCTAAATATGATCATTTATTAATAAAGCATTGGACGAAACATAGGATGAGACAGTTTAAAATATACAGTATGTATATATATAACATTATAAATAATTTTTTAATAGAGAAACGGTTAGCTTATTCAAGTAGCAAACCAAACCAAATTTTTATTAAAATTAGTGGAAATAACTCGAATTAATTATATTCGATACAACAATCTCTATTGGTCTATAATATATAGGTTGAGGCAGCAGATTTCACGCCATCAAATATACAAGTGTTGTTCACAGGAATGTATTGGCGAGTGATAAGTTTAATTACTTCTTGGGATACTAAGCCGCCGACAAATGCTGCAATGCTGGGTAATTCGGATCCTCCAGCTCGGCAACTATATAAAATGTTTTAGTTAAGATGTGAAAAGGAAGAAAATTGGCAAGATATGTAAAATTGTAAATTACATCTCATGAATATAGTCATCTAAATGTTCGGGTATGTTCGAAATTTGCAAATCTTCCAACAAGGTGTGAACTTGAGCTTTAAACGCCTCAAACTCTGATTTTGTTGCTTCGCTAGCTTCTTCCGGATCACCTTCACTAAAGAAAGTTGCAGCATCTTTTATGGAGTATTCAAAACTAATCAGCAGCAATTCAAAAAAATTTTCGAACTGTAAGCAGACATTTACCAGGATAACGCAGATAAGACTCATAAAATCTATCCATCGCGCGAAGAAGTACATAATAAATAATATTTTCTTGTGGATTTTGCAACCATTGATCTAAAATATTTATTATTACCAATTAAATTCAACAATCGAAGATAAATTAACGAATTAGTTAGCCTTACCAATTTCAACTTTCTTTTGATCACTTATATATTCTTCTTGTAATGACCTATATCGAATAACTTTAATGTAAGCTGCATTCTTACAAAAAACGTCAATTTCTTCGTCGTGTATGGAGTCTGTCGTTCGTCCAATTGATCTCAGAATGTCATCGACACGAGTGCGAATTATAGCGACATCTTGTTTTGCCTTTTGACGATAGCTGGGATGATTGAGATCTATAAGCAAGTGTTGAATATTTACGGTGATTACTGAATGCCAATTTTAGTGTTCATACACAGTTTGTAATGCAACATAGCCAGAAGTATAGGCTTTCATGTCCGGCACAGCCCCCGCCAAAGGTAGCAAGCCTTGTCCTTCGTTGGTCACAAAATCCCGAACAGCACGCATAATGATCCAGAAGTTTGATGACTTAATTATAAAAAATTATGCTTAAGATCTGGAGCATATAAAAAGAAATAAATATTAAGTGAAATAAAACGAACTTACATTAGAAGTGATGTTTTCACATGCAGAATCATTAAAAAGCTCTTCGACTTCATGCGGAACCTTGGAGGATGTGTATGCTTTCCATGCATTGGACAGTGCTTCATCAAAGTTTTCTTCGTCGAAATTTCTCCTACCCCTAGATATCATCGACTTGAACTCATCTCTTTCAGAATACGTTTTTGGTAGGTTCCCGTCATGCTTTGTTGGGTATCAAATATGGTATGAACATTTAATTGATCATATTAACAGGACTATGATAGGTATTTACTTCTAGTTTCCATTGATCCAGATACTTTAACAAAATCACCACGTAAGGGATATGTCCATGATCCATATTATCCATCGAATCAAAATCAAAGGTCATAACATATTGCTCTAGAGCAGAAAAAGGTTTGTCTAGCCTTAGATCAACAACATTATCTGGATGTGTCTCAACAACTTATGTGAAATTTGGTTAAGATAATGAGAAGCAAATATACAAAAAGAGAAATAAAAAAAACCACAATTTACCAGTATGTTCCGGAACCACGATACGAAAATACCCAATGAATCCAACAGAACGTACTACAACTAGCGGAATTTTTGCGATCCATAAAACTTCGGCTAATTTTAGTAAAGAACTTTCGGGGACTTCTGTAGAAATAACAATGGAGAATTGCAAGAAATATTCTGGTCTAGTTTCGATGAGAGTGACAGGGTCCTATTACAAAATAATTTCGAATTGGTCACGTGTATTTTGATCGACAAATTATACGCATTCAATTAACCTCAGCAAGATGAAATCCTTTAACATCCTCGTTCAACTCTTGTAGAAGTTCAGCAACTGCTTGAGCCCTACTCGAACCAATCTTATCAACATCCAAGAAGAATGTAATTCCAGCATCAGCGCCCTCTACGAGTTTCCCATCGACCACGGTAAAGGATCCAATGCCTGAATGATTTGATTTAAGTGATAAATATTTTGGAAGTACTAGATACTGGTGAAGAAATAACGAAGATGGTAAAGGTACCGGGTAAAACCAAATCTTTTATTATCTCACATCCAGTAGCTGTACCGTTGATGAGGCATACTTTAGAATTTTCCAGGGCCAACTGTCCCCCATCTTGCCACAACCTACGTAATTATTTTAAGGAATGCCGAATTTATATGGTTATCGAGCAGTTTAAAGACATATAAGAAACAATAAGTTAAAATTAACTAACCGAAGTTGGCGATCATATTTCTGTGTCCTTTTGTCAACAATCATTTTTTCTAACTTGTTTTTTTTTTAATATGCGTATATGGTCGTTCTCGAAGTGCGGCAAGGAGTTTTCAGACCCTGGAATTGTGGCCCCAAAATTTAGAATTAGTATAACATGTGATACGAATAAGTATTATAATTATTACATCGACTGTTAACAGTAACCTATTGCAAGTTATTTTACATATTACATGGACAAAAATAATTTTTTAAAAACTCTTTCCACTGATCCTTTAATTATAATGTTTGCATAAAAGCCTTTTTTGACTTTTGATTAATAAAGTCTTAATATTCTTTTTATAGTAAAACAACTTAAAGGATATCTTCAAGAATTACTTTTATCTTTCTCTTCTTGTTTACAAATTTTTTTGATAAAAAATTTGACTTCTAATAATTAAAAAGAGTCAAATAATATTTTTACTATCAATAGTAATAAAATTATTTAAGATTTTTTTTTTTCTTTAAAGCAAATTGTTATAAAAAATTTTTAATTTAATTTGGTTTTAAATTTTCAAGCAATACAATTTTTATTAAAAATAATTAATCAATATAAAATATATTAGTTTTTTAAAAGTATATATAAGTATTTATTAATTACAATTATAGTATATTTTTTGATAATAATAATAATAATAAAGTCTATAAAAAAGTTTTTTATAATTAATTAAGTTTTTTTAAAAAAAAAATTATTATTAAAAAATTAATTAGAAATATAAACAAGTTATTTTTATTTTTTATTAAATTTTTCAAATAATAAAAGATTTTTTTTAAAAAAAATTTACATTTTTTTATCTTTATTAGAAAAGGTTAAAATATTATTGATATTATTATTCTAATTAGATTAAATTTTATTGATAAAAGATATAAACACTAGTTAAAAAAAATTATTTAACATACTATTCCTTGTATAATATTTAGTAAAAAATAAACAATTTATCAAATTAATAATATAAATAAATTGACAATAATACTATATAATTCAATTATAAATATTATATAACTAATAAACTCATATATCTTAGTTTGTTTTCAAACTTTAAGTACAACTTTAGAAGTGATTTGTTACTACATTTATAGTTTGAATTAATACTCTTCTACCATTAATATCATTGTCTATATTTATTACTACAGTAATTAATTTAATTTATTTATTTTTTTTTTAATCTATAATTATATCATAATAGCTTATCTTTATTAAGAAATTAAAATAAAATCTATAGTAGTTTATAGATTTTCACAAAGTAACTAACTTGTTTTTATATATAAGTACTCTAAGTTAGATTTTGGAAATAATATTACACTTTCTTGATAGATTGATAATGATCTCTATCTATCAGAGTCATTGTCAATAGTTTGTTACTATTGATTGACTCAAAAATCAATGAATTGATAAATTAAAAAAAAAAAGAAGAAAATTGATTTGGAAAAAGAGAACATTTAAGGTCCATCAAAAAAATTCAAAAATAAAAACAACCTCTTCTTAAAAGGGATCTATGTAATTGAAATAGTCTTTATACTTTACTTGAACTTTAAAAATTTTTTTCTTTTTCATTATTTGTGATATTAAACAAGTCAATCCAATTAATCCTTTATTTAAGTAAGCATTAGATTGAAATATCTCAAGGAAAGTATTTATACCTTGGCATTTTTTATTAAAACTTTATCATTACCTGAGAAACTTAAGTAAGAAATAGAAATTTGTAATTCATATTACTTATCACTTGATCTTTTGATATTATGGAAATCTTTATTAAGGGATTTAAGTTTTTTGAGAACAAATATTTTTAAAACATTCTTTTCAATTATCAATACTGTTATTAAAATATATGAGTATAATCAATAGAAGCAGTAATTAATTTATTTTTAGTAATATATAATTAAATCAAAATATAATAATTAATTTTTTATTATAAAAACTTTTTTTACTAATTAAATTTATTTATTATTTTTTTTTAAAACCATAAATGATATTAGATAAAAACAATTTATTAATATTTATTGAATAATAATATCCCCTAGTATTACATCAATTATTTTATACAAACTATATATCTATATATATATATAGATTAATGATAACCTATTATAGTTTATCTTAGATAAACCTACTACCACTTTTAAAGTAAGAAGACAACATAGCATATTGTCTTGAAAAATATGTAACACATTGATAGCAACATATAGAAAACTTTTTGAGAATAAAAGTATGTTATTTAAATCTATACCAAATAGTGTAATTTATTATCCAAAGATTCTCAACTTGAAAAGTATCTGGATGTTATAATGAAAAAATCAAATAACAGGTTTATATAATAGGCTAAATAATTCAGGATCAGTTGAAATCACAACAATTATTAGACTCAAGTAAACACAAATCAAATATTAGAAGCCACTTAATTTATTAACTTATAAGTTACTAAGCCACCTATCAAATAAAGGCAACTTTTTACTTCAGATAACTAAATTGATAAAAAATATAGAGATAACCTTTCATAGTTGGAAATGGTAAGAAATATTTGAATAGAGTAAAGGAAATAGTCCAATTCAAGAATATTTTATATCAGAAAAATACAGAAAGGTCATATCATCTTTAAAAAATAATAAACTGATATATTTAGATTAATTATTAAATTAAGAAAGTATAGAAATAAGGAATTAGTAAATGCTTTAACTAATATAGAATACAAGCAAAGGATCTATTCCAAAGTGATATCAGATTATAATCAAAACCTCTTAGATGTACAAGTATAGTAGCTCACAATAATCTAAAAGGAAGACTGTACAAAATAGAAACCAAAATATTTTAAAATAAGTTCTAATCAAAACAAGTAATATAAACTGTAGGCAGTATAGATCAACAAAAATTATCAACTAATTGAAAAAAATTAAAACAAGCAAGAAAAAAATACAATACAATAGTAAAACACTTTATCTATTACAGTATTAATAATGATCAGGAGACAAGATTACAAAAATACTTTGGATACTTAAAAAAAACAATATAAAACAATAGTTGTATCATAAAAAGAGATAAAAAAAATTTACACAATACCTTATTTCAATAAAAAAATATCTACAAGAGGAATAGGAGAATTAAAAATCCCTAATCCCAAAGCAACACTCAAGAATACGATTATAAAAGAATTTATAGAGATTAGTATCCTTTTAAGACTTTTTCTCAAAATAGAAAAGTAAACCATGGGAATATAGAAACTTGGAAAAAAATTATAATTAGAGAAAATATTAAAAAAGAAATATATTTAGATCAGTTAATAGAAATACTTCAATGCAATTTAAGATTCAAAGAAAAACTGATTTTTTATTTTGATAGATTATTGATAAATTATGGTAAAGAAGAAATAAGAATGTGTGCTGTATAGATTCAAATAGAAAATACTGAAAGAAAAAGTAGATTTTAAACAGGAGTAGATAATTGGTCATCTTTTACAAGAACTAAGTTGGTAGCAATTCTAACCATACTCCTAGTAGTCTCCATTAATAGCACAATTGAGATTTGTATAAATAGCTAGACTTATATTACTAAATGGAAGAAGATAGAAAAAGAAAATCCAAAAAGAACATACAAGAGATGGCTAAAAGAAAAAAATTAATCTTTATGGACATAAATAATAAAGCTAACAAAGAAAAAAACAGTAAACCTAAAGCTTACCAAAATCAAAGTACATTTCAATAACTCTTATAATAAAGAAGCAGATGCCTTAGTCAAAGAAGTCCTAAAACTTCTATTAATTGAATGGAAAAATCTTAACTTCTACAAGATCATTATAGAGATCAGGTGATAAAATATAACTTTAGATGATTCAATTAGGCAGTGTATCAAAAATACAAACAACAAAACAATAGCTTATCAGTGGGCCTAGTAAAATTGAATGGAGAAAAAATAGAGTCATCAGATTTTAGAATAGCAAGATTATATATGAGATCTAGTGTAGGAAAGAATAAAAGATGGTTATACATGGAATATATTCTTTAAAAAATCTTAACAAAAAAGCTTTTTCATCAAACTAACCAATAACATGCTACCAACATTATGTAAATTGATTACAAGAAAACCTGTCCTATATAAGTAAGTGAAGTATATTGCATGGAACCAATAGAATGAAACAATAGAATACTTGCTAGAATGTCCTACCTATAAGAATTAACTTCAAGAAGTATGGAATAAAGAAATAAATATAACTCTTAGAAGCTTTAAACAGCTCTACAAGAAAGAAGAAAGAAGGTTGAGAAAAAAAATAATAGGTAAAATATCAATAATCAAAAAGAACTAGAAGAGTTTAACAAGTAGATTTCTAGACTAGTGGAACAGATCTTTTTAACTAGTCAAGATACCACTAGTCAAAAAATATTTATTTGGCATAATGCCATTTATATAACATTTGTTAAAAATAAATAATTCAACATATTAATGAAATAAATAAATTATTAACAATTTTTATCATATAATTTGGTATAAATAAATTATCAATCAATTTCTACTATATAATTCAGTATATAATTTGGCATAAATAAATTGTTTATCAATTTTTACTATATAATTCTATATTATTTGTCATATTTGCATTATTTTTACTATATACTGTATTTTATTAAAATTTTTCTCAAAAAATCATTAGACATTTATCAAAATTTCAATTTTGTCAAAATTCATATATTTGCTAAATTTTAATTATATATTATATTTACAATTTAAGAATTTACAACTAAATATTTACAAAAGTCTTGCTAATTTGAGGTTCTATATATAAATAGAATAAATCAGTCCAAAATATTATAAATAGGAATTATGCATTTATGTTTAACTAGATAAAATTTGATACTTCACAATTTAACATTTGTAT